CAATATTGCAGTTAAAGCAACAGTTTCAGACAGGCAGTAAACGCAAACTGCAACATGGGACTGTTCTGGCGATTTGTCAAACCTCTCAGCAGTGGCGGTGTTAGACAAGAGTGACTGCGGGGGCCGGGCAGGGGCCACTTGTACTTTTAGGGGGCACACATACATCACAAACTTAATTATTCAAAGGCATTTTTTCGTGCATCACTCTTCAGTCTTCTTAAACAAGAAAATTAAACATATAATAATATATTATCAAAATAATCTTATCAAAAATAATCTTCCTTGTTAATCTATTTGACAAGTAACTTTGCATTGTAGTATAGGATATTTTAACATGAAAGTAGGCTACATCAAGTCACATTTTTGCACCTGTAAATTTTGCCCTCCCGTTAATGTAAAATAATGTTTCCCAAGTGATCAGGGGCAACAGATGAAAAATAGCCTTCTAATTCTGGTGCATTTGCAGAAATGCCAATTAATGTACACTGTCCCTGCTAAATAAACAAATAAATAAAATAAATCTTTAACAAACCAAGGACATTTTCACAGTATTTCTTTTTAAAACAAAAACAATTAATCTGGGATCTTAATAAATCTAATTTCATATAGTTTATTTCTTGAATAAAATCAGTTTTGAATAAAACAACATTTTAAAGGTCAGTATTATTAGCCTTTTTAAGACATATTTACTGTGTATTTTTTGATTGTCTACAAACCAGTTATAAAATAACTTGACTAATTATTCCAACTTTCCTAGTTAACATTAATCTTTAAATTACACTTCAATCTGAATGAGACTAGAATGCCTAACAGGGCTTTGTCTGAATACAACTATCTTGCAAAATAATAAAAGTAGTTATTAGAAATTAGTTATAGTTAAACTATTATGTTTAAAAACAAGTTGTAAAAAAATCATGTGTTTGAAGATGCTTTATGTTACTACTGAAAACAAAAATGATTGAAGGCTGTATTACTTTACATGAGCGTGACTAAAAACTAATTTTGTTATTTTATAATTTAATTTATAATTTATTTTTAAATATAATATAATTTAGCACTGGATATTGCTTGTCAAATTGTCCTTCCTCCCATTCAAAAAGTAGGTAGCACATTTTGATGTGCAATATGCTACCCATCAGATTTAAACTTTTATGTGGAGTAGTGTGATATGAAGCTGTAATATCACTCTAACCTACCTAATCGCTAACCCCAACCTCAGAACCATTCGAATACAGTGTTGGTAGCATATTCAGAAGGGTACGTAGGATAAAATGTCAGGACACCAGTCATAATCATATTTTCTTTCAGACGTAATATATCTAGTCTACACCTGTTAATGTTCGTCATGTTTATAAATTTGTGCCGCACAGAAAATTAGCCCCAAGAATGTTTGTATACACACAAATTCATTTTGCTGCAGGTGATATTACAAAATAGTGATTCACCACACACAGTTCATTAATGTTTTTCTTTCTTGTTCAAATTCTTAGGTTAATTAAAAATAAATTTGTTAAAGAGCCCATATTATGGGTTTTTGAAAATTCCTCTCCATGTAGTGTGTAAAAGCTCTAAGTGAAGTGAAGTATTCAGCTAAGGCTTAAATCTGTAAGAGTACAGTGTTTAAAACGGTTGATTCCTCTATAAAAGAGTCGACTCATAGTGCTTCAAACGAGTCGCCTTGATACCGAGTTATTAGGTGTTTCGCCATGACGTTCGAACGAAACCAAGTTATTCACATGCACGCACAAAACCCGGGAGATTTCACACCTGAGGCCCCGCCCTCTGACGCAGAAACGCAGACACACACACACACACCCACAAACAAACGCACACAAACATGCCGGTCGATTGAAGTCACACTGCAGATGGATATTATCGAATCTCTACCCAAAGATGAAACCTCAGCATAATAACCAAGCAGTTGGAAACTACTGGAAACTTCTGCAAACTACATGCTACAAAGAATACTTCATCGGCGTTTGTTAAAGGAAGGATCAGTAAAGAGTAACTTACTGATGGACGTCAGGATGGGTTTCTTCCTCCATTTCTCAAGTGTAAGTACGTGCGATTAAAGTTGTTGCCTCGTTGACCCTAGCTTGCAAATGTATTTAGTTGTGATTTGTTACTTGTAACCGCATGTACTGTATCAGGTTAACTGGCTATATTCTCTTATCGCGTGCAAAGCCACGTTAAAAACGCGACGCGTGCTGCTTTGTTTACGGAGCTCCGTGCGTAGAGGTCTGCATTCCCGCCGCGGGACCGGACCAGATGTCTGCGGCGCGGGAATAAATTTCCGAATAAATCGAGGGAGCGGTCGGTAACGGGTTTAATTTGGGACGGGAGCGGGCTGTCTAGCAATATCGCGGATATTGATATGCGAATGAGAGAGAGAGAGAGCTTTGCCTGTGTGTCTGCTTGGTGCTTGTGTGTGTGTTTATACAGACAGCTTGGCTGTCTGGACTGTTTAGCTGGGTGATTTTCAGTTATGTTCTCCCCCGCTCTTTAGCAGGATCGGGCGTGGCGGGCAGAAAACAGGGCGGGCACCGGGACAACAAATTCTTAATATAAGCTGGAGCAGTCGGGTTCAGGCTAAAAACTGGCGGGTGTGGGCGGAAGCGGGAGCATTGTCGTCTGGAGGTGTGTGTGTGTGTGTGTGTGTGTGTGTGTGCGCGCAAGGACGAGGGCAATATGTGTGTTTGTGTGCATTTCACTCTCTGACTGAAGGCAGTCGACCAATCGCAACAGACTGTCATCGGTCCAATCAGTGCAGATTAGCTTCGCGCTAAGGAGGGGTTTGAGAACAAATGAATCACTGGACGATTCATACGGGAGTAGCTGGAATAATTAGGTAAAAATAAATGCAGATTGTAAGACCATGACAGTGTTTTTTGACCTTGCATGCATATTAGACTGTTGTTGGAGACCCTTACAACCAAGATATGACCCTATTTCATGTATAATATGGGCTCTTTAAATCACTCTATTTATCCCTGGATTTTGTATCACCATAGTCTCTAAACACTGCATCCGCAAAGTATTCATAGCGCCTCACCTTTTCCTCATTGTTCATGTTACAGCCTTATTCCCAAATTCTACACGCAATACCCCATAACAACAATGTGAAAGAGGATTTTTTGAAATTGTTGCAAATTTATTAAAAGTAAAAAATCTGAAAAATCACATGTACATAAGTATTCACAGCCTTTGCCCAATACTTTGTGGATGCACCTTTGGCAGCAATTACAGCCTCAAGTCTTTTTGAGTATGATGCCACAAGCTTGACACACCTGTCTTTGGGAATTTTTGCCCATTCCTCTTTGCAGTACCTCTCAAGCTCTATCAGGTTGGATGGGAAGCGACGATGTACAGCCATTTTCAGATCTCTCTAAAGATCTTCAATAGGAATTAGGTCTGGGCACTGTCTGGGCTACTCAAGGACATTCACTAAGTTGTTGTGAAGCCACTCCATTGATATTTTGGTGGTGTGCTTTGGGTCATTGTCCTGCTGGAAGATGAACCGTCACCCCAGTCTGAGATCATGCGAACTCTGAAGCAGGTTTTCATTCAGAATGTCTCTGTACTTTGCTGCAGTCATTATTCCCTCTATACTGACTAGTCTTCCACCCTGATGCTGCCACCACCATGCTTCACTGATGGTATTAGCCTGGTGATGAGTGGTGCCTGGTTTTCTCCAAACGTAACGCCTGGCATTCACTCCAAAGAGTTCTAGGTAAGACTTTATAATAACTACACACTATGAATCATTTATTAAGCATTAGCAAATCGTGAATTCATTTTCTGATAAGCATTAACTCTACATTAATAAATGTTAGTAAGCAGTTTACAACTGCAGCTAATAATGCTGTATTCTTGACTTACAACCACATGTATAATGTGCTTAATAATTGTACTTTCATACTTTGTTAATGATTTATTTTTCATTACTAAATGAAGTATTGCATTATTTTTACAAACCAGTTATTTAAGCATAGTTGGTGGTTTTTTAAGATCATTCAGAATGATTTAGTAAATGATTAATAAACTATTGAAATCAACATTTATATATCTTATTATTCAGGCATATATTTATACTTAACTAATGTGTTAATAAATGGTTTATTAACTCAACTTCATCCAGTTTTGTGACCTAATCTAAAGTGAGGACTATTCTTGCTTTATAAATGCCTTATAAATGACAATTAAAGAGTCAGTTAAATTCTAAAAAGGAAAGAAGTACATAAACAACATTATTAATTTCTATTCATTTGAAGATACACTCATCAAACTGTATCAAATGAAAAGTAAATCTGTGCAAACTGATTTAAAATAAAATGACTGTACAGTTTAAACATTGCATCTTTTTATATTGTTAAATTATTATATTATTGTTGTTTTATACAATTTTATGTCGTATTTTGACACTCCAGTTATTCAGCAATGTTTAATATTTACAATAATTTGACTTTTTAGATAAGATTTCAATGATTATTGTTCATTTGATACTAAACCTTTAATTATCATTTATAAGGGATTTATGAAGCAAAAATAGTCCTCACTTTAGATTAGGTCACAAAACTGCATGAAGTTAAGTTAATAAAACATTTGTTAACATACATAGTAACCATTAACATATGCCTGAATAAGATGTATAAACCTTGATTTCAACAGTTTATTAATCATTTACTAACTCATTCTGAATGATGGTAAAAACCTCCAACTACACTTAAAATACAACTGGTTTGTAAATAATGCAACACTTCATTTAGTAATGAAAAAAAATCCTTAACAAAGTATGAAAGTACAATTATTAAGCACATTATACATGTGGTTGTAAGTCAAGAATACAGCATTTGTAGCTGCAGTTGTAAACTGCTTACTAATGTTTATTAATGTAGAGTTAATGCTTAACAAATAATGAATTCACTAGATGCTAATGCTTAATAAATGGTTTATAGTGTGTAGTTATTATAAAGTGTTACCAAGTTCTAGTCTCATCAGACCAGAGAATTTAGTTTCTTATGGTCTGAAAGTCCTTCAGATGCCTTTTGGTAAATTCTAGGCGGGCCTAGCATACCATACAGGCCTGATTAGTAGATTGCTGCACAGACAGTTGTTCTTCCGTAAGGTTCTGTAAGAAAGAGTCCTGGTGGTTCCAAACATTTTCTACTTACAGATGATGGAGGCCACTGAGCTTATTTGAACTTTTAGACCAGCAGAAATTTTTCTGTAACCTTCCCCAGCCATGTGCCTAGAGACAATCCTGCCTCGGAGGTCCACAGACAGTTCCTTTGTCTTCATGCTTGGTTTGTGCTGTGACATGCACTGTCAACCCTGGAACCTTATAAAGACAGGGATATGCCTTTTCAAATCATGTCCAATCAACTGAATTTACCACAGGTGAACTCCAATTAATCTGCTGACACATCTCAAGATTGATCAGTGGAAACGGAATGTATTTGAGGTCAATTTAGAGCTTCACGGCAAAGGCTGTGAATACTTCTGTACATGTGACTTTTCAGCTTTTTTAGTTTGAATAAGTTTGCAACAATTTCAAGAAATCTTTTTTACATTGCGATTATGGGGTATTGTGTGTAAAATTTTGAGGAAATAAATGACTTTAATTCATTTTGGAATAAGGCTGTAACACAACAAAAAAATAAAATAAATGTGGAAAAGGTGAAGCGTTATGAATTCTTTCCAGATGCACTGCACGTGCAAATCAAGGAAATTGATTTATATATCAAGTAAGTCTTGTTAACATTGCATCATTTATTTATTGTTAGTATTGCATTTATTTATAGATTATTTTTACTAAGTAGCTGTATACCTAGAGAAAGATACCTTAACTAATTTGATTATAAAGTATATTTTGTAACAAAGTTTTTACAGTTCACAGGCAAAGATCATGTTTATTCAAGTTATTTATTGGACTGCCTCTGCTAGTAATCATGTGTATTCTGGTGAGTTCATTCAATCCAAATATATATGTTTAAATATTGTGTTTATTCATTGTGTTCACAGGAATTTGTTTTTTAAAATATATTTTTTGTATGCTGTAAGATCTTTATCACTTAATTGGTATTTTATTACTTCATAGGCATCGGATCTTCCAATGCCTAATGTATTCGTTGACTACTGTAACATTTTTATTACTTCCTAGGTGCATTTTCAGACTTATATTGCCTTATTAAAAATATCATTGTCCACATTTTATTGCCTTCTTGTCCCACTATAAATTAGTCTGAACATTTGCCCATGTTGACCAACAGTAAAATCTTTGTCTACTTTGCCTACCTGAAGAATGATTTTATTGATTAATAATCACCTATTGTTTATTTTTAGGTGGAATGGTCTAATATGGGTAATGATAATAAGAAAAACATACCACCCAGCTTTCTGTCTCAGCATCTCACAGGACTCCACAACTCTTCAACCTCTGATGATTCTGCGGGGTCTCAGTCACTAAGAAGCTTTTTTCAGTCTGAATTTGGAATCAGTTTGCAGAGTTACTATATGTTGCAGGAGGCTGTTTACTGGCCCGGTCCTCACAGACCAATTACACATTTATCAATGAGTACTAGTCCAGAGAACACCAAATTCACCATTCAGAATCTGAAAGAGAGCTACCAAACTGGCGAGGAACTTTTTGTTATGGTGCATGCAAAGGATTTCAACAATAACTCCAAAGATTACGGGGGAGACTTTTTTCAAGCCAAGTTGTTCTGGTCCAAATCTAAGGTCAGTGATTGTACTCACTAGGTAAAGTTGCAGCATTTATTATACATGATCAACACATTAGTATTTCAGATGCAAAAGCCTTGAAGTGCCTTCTGAAAAGTAATTTCAGCTTTATGGCAAAGAATAGGTTATTTTCATTCTCTTGAAATGTGAAACAACTGACCATAAACAAACGAGACTGACAAAAATGCTAATTTTCAGAAAAAAGAAAAATCAAAAGCCACTTTTGCAAGTTTTTTGCATCTGAACTCTTCACATACACATCATTGATTCAATTCATATGTCTTTATTATCTTCAATCACAATAACTTGGCCTCACTCAAAAAAATTGTAAATAACAAATCAAGCCCTGCCTCCCAATTCTTTTCTTATTTATAATTCCAAATATACATTATTGATGGGCCAAAACATTATGACCAGTCTGATGTAAAACAAATACAGGTAGATTAGATGGAAATGGGGATGCAAGTTTTGTACTTTCCTTCCAAATAGAAGTGGTCCAAGGAGGGATAAACAACATACTGGTGACATAGTATTCAGTGTCAGGTGCTTTCACACCTGTGAATCGATTCAGTTGTTCCGACACGGAGATTACAATTGTTTCATTGTTGCTCTTTGCTCATGGAGCGGTTCGCTTTCACACTGCAAAGTTTTATAATCAGACCAAAAGAGCTAAAACAAGTCATGTGTGAATAAACTCTCCTCACATTGGTCAGAGATTCACTATTTATTTTGTAGAGTCCTGTCAGGAGAAATGGTATTTTAGTGGTGTTTGACAAGGTGCGCGCGACGTGTCTGAAGAGTGAAGGCTGATTTATACTTCTGATGCATAGCCCTTTGCCGTGGCCATCGGCGTCGCTGACGTGCACCTCTCAAAAAATGTAACTACACGTCGCAATGACGCGTAGTGCAAGCTTTGCGATTGGTCGGCTTGGAAGCGTTGACGAGTCTGGGCGGGACTGAAAGCCGCGCGAATGGTGCGAGCCTGATGGAGCGATTGTTTACAAGTGTGGAGTCCCGTGAAGGAGCTCCGGATGGAAAGTTTTGTTTTGTGTTTACCTCACAGTTAAATTTGTTGCACGTCCGCCGGTTCCTGCCTAAAAATGAGCGAGTTTGAGCCACTTTTACATCCAGGAAGTGTTCAGGAAAAGCAAAACAGCAGCGAAGAAACTCGACACAGAGGAACATTTACACCTCACTGCCAACTACGTTTCGGAAGTGTTAATGCAGACCACCGTGGGTTAATGCATGCACCGTGGGTTACGCTGATCACTTGACGCAGAAGTATAAACCAGGCTTGAGTAGAGATTCGGTGGGGAGGGGTGAGAAGGGTGTGCAACGTAGGCTATTTGAGGACCAGGAGGAAGACGCGAGATTATCGGGAGATTATCACTTGTTTGCGGGCATCCAGGAGACTCGCAAAACTTCCCACCCTACTCATAATTCTCTCTTCATATAGCCGTATGCCTATTACATATCCATAACACACTGATTTAACCGGGCTCGGATCGTTTGCTTTCTCATTGCAATCGATCCGCTCCACAGTTCGTTTCAATAGAGCCGAGACCACCTCATTCAAGCGATCTTGGAGCGATTGATTTGGCATGGATCCGAGAGCGATTTGTGGTTTTTACACATGCCAAACGAACCACGTGAACTGGGCAAACGAGACAGGTTCAGAAACAAATCTGTAGGTGTGAAAGTACCCTAAAGCTCACCAATGCACAAGAGCAATGAAAGCTATCCCTTCTGCGCTGGCCAACAGATGGTTTGCTGAGTTGCAAGCCACACAATATTCCTAATGTAAGTTATGGAAGGAATTTGTGGATTACAATTCTCAGCAAAGACCTTGGTGATGAGAGAAGTCCTCTATACCAGTGGTCCTCCACCGGTACTGCTCCGTGGATTAATTGGTATCGGGCTGCACAAGATATCATTAATTATTTCTGTTTTATTTATTATATGAGTCTGATCGATTCTTTTATTTTGAAAAATATTTTATCTTGAAAAGGTAACATAAGGGTCCAGTTAAAAGGTCCAGTGAAGGATCTGCAAACTGCCAAGGAATGGATCCACAATCCATTTGTCAACAAATCAGGTGAATCTACCATGTCTTAGCAAGAAAATCCAATCCTCCAGATGGACCCATTGAATGACTGCCATGAGTCACTATGACCAATTTACTGATTCACCTACTGTATGCCACATGTCTTTGGACTGTGGGGAAAACTGGAGCAGCTGGGGAAATCCATGAGAACACAAGGACAACATGGAAGGCCTCGTAGACTAGCTGGCACTCAAACCAGCAACCATCACCCTGCTGTGAGGTGACAGGATACAACTCTTCATAATGGAACTGCTGGAACAAGTCCAGTCTACTCCTGACAACCTGAAGTATCCTCTTTTATCTTTTTGGTGCCACAGACTAAATGACACCTTTAAAGATCTTGAAGAGACCACATCTTCGCTGGCTTGACTGTTTTGCCAGGATGAGGAGGATCAGTGTACCTCATCAGTGTGCATCACTGTTGGGAAGAAAAGACTCTTTCAGCTTGTGTTTAAAACCATGGGACTATGTTTCCTAACGATTTCTGTTGTATTAAAATTATTTATATACTTCTGGTCCACACATACTATAAAATAACAGGGTTTGTACATTATTTATGTTATATTAAACCTTACCAGTTTAAGTCATAATAACCAGGGGTACCCAGGGGTATGAATAATTTTAGGCTTGACTGTAAGTCTTGACAATAATACCGTGTGAATGGGCTTTCTATTGAGAATATTCCTCTGTCACAGGCCAGTGTTTTTGGGGATGTGGTGGACCTGCTCAATGGCTCCTACTCAGTGCGTTTCCTTCTGCCTTGGGTCGGAGAAGCTCAGGTTGCTGTCCGTTTAATTCACTCCAGTGAAGCTGTGCAAGTCTTGAAGCATCACAGAGATACTGACTCAGACAGAGTTTACTATAATGGATATTACGAGGCTCCAGGACCAAATAAAACCAGGCTAAATGAAGTTGTGGAGTGTAATGTGAAGTGGGACAAGAATGGATTGGAGAGTTTAGGAACCAAAAACTGCTGTTGTGAATACAGCGATCCTCGTACCAGAGAAACGTGGCGCTGCAAGAAACCCAAATCTCTGCCATGCAGCGCCCTTGTCTACCACTCCATGGGCTCTTACAGAAACCGACTAACTAAAGAGGAGAAGGCACTAATGTGAGATTAAAGAATAATCACATAAAATAAATGTCTGAATGTTAATTAATATCTAATTAAAATGTTTAAGTGGACTTGATTTAAAGGATGTTTGATTGAAGGCATACCTAACTTATTTAATTCACTGACTGAAGGAAGCATGACAGATAAAACACATTTTCTTTGGCAGGGAGGAAACTAACAAAGGTATCAAAGGAGATGAGAACATCATCAAAATACTTCATTCTCCTGGAAATAAAACCATTGGTATGTTGGCCAATTGTCTAACCCAGGAAAAAAAGTGCCTTTCTTACCTTGTTTGGATGTAGATACCAGTATGGGATAATGTTAGGAAATAATGATGATGCTAAAAAATGCAAGGAGTTGAAATTGTGACAGATCCCATTACAGCTAAACACTTCACAGTTTAGGTCACCTTTACAGAAAAACCACACAAGCATCACAAGAGCTCATGTAAAATCAAATGCAAAGCACAAAATATGTGTACAAGCAGGATTTGAAACATTTTATGTAAGAAGTAAAACTACTTATCATTAAAAAAATTGTGACCACTCTAAAACTTGATAATGTTCCTAAACTGCATGTAAAAAGTTTTGATAAATACAGTGTATCCGGAAAGTATTGATAGCACTTCAGTTTTTCCACATTTTTTATGTTAGAGCCTTATTCCAAAACGGATTAAATTCCTGTATTTCCTCAAAATTCTACACACAATACCCCATAATGACAATGTGAAAAAAAAAAGATTTTTTTGAAATTGATGAATAATTTTTTTTGCCTTTGCCGTGAAGCTCTAAATTGAGCTGAGGTACATTCTGTATGCACTGATTTGGACATTGGACATGAGGCATACACCTATCTATATAAGGTCCCAAGGTTGACAGTGCATGCCAAAGCACAAACTAAGCATGAAGACAAAGGAATTGTATGTAGACCTCCGAGAAATGTTTGCTGCTCCGAAAGTTCCAGTGAGCACAGTGGCCTCCATCATTCATAAGTGGAAGATGTTTGGAAGCACCAGGACTCTTCCTAGAGCTGGCCGGCCATCTAAACTGAAGGCTGATTTATACTTCTGCATCAAACACCGGCGTATGCTATGGCACTGATGCATAGCCCTTCGCCGTGGCCGTGGCCGTCACTGACGTGCACCTCTCAAAAAATGTAACTACACGTCGCAACAACGCGTAGCGCAAGCTCTGTGATTGGTCGGCTTGGTAGCGTTGACGAGTCGGGGCGGGACCGAGAGCCGCGCGGATGGCGCGAACCCAATGTAGCGATTGTTTACAAGTGTGGTGTCCCGTGAAGGAGCTCCGGATGGAAAGTTTTGTTTTTTGTTTACTTCATAGTTAAAGTTGCTGCACGTCCGCCGGTTGCTGCCTCAAAATGAGCGAGTGGCCAGACGGAAGCCACTCCTTAGTAAAGGGCAGATAGCAGCCCGCCTGGAATTTGCCAAAAGGCATCTGAAGGACTCAAAATTCTTTGGTCTGATGGGACTTAAATTAAACTCTTTGGAGTGAATTCCAGGCATTGCATTTTGAGAAAACTAGGCACCGCTCATCACTAGGCTAATTTAATCCATTTTGGAATAAGGCTAACATAAAAAAAATTGGAAATTTGTTAATTGGACTGTATATATTTATTACCCTCCTACATATATTTATATCCAGTTATTTAACTTTAAAGGCAATGAAAACAACCTATTCATCCCCATAAAAGTTAAATTACTGAAACATACACACAGGAACCTTAAAAAAAGGCCACTTAAGTTTTTTGACACTTCTGGACACTTAGTATGTGAAGCTCATGTCTATATATAAAGAAAACTTTTATATTATAAAATGGCAACTTCAGCATTTCAAATACATTTAAATAAACAACAAACGAGACAAGTTACATTTTAGATTACCATGAATGCTTGTCAGTCACTACATTCGATCAAATGTAAATCATTTCAATTCTATATTAATTTATTTTGTCTGCTGGTCCCAAAAGATAAATGCTAATATTATAGAAGTCACTGGAGATCAACTCCTGCTGTTTGTTTTTGTAATTTACTTAATCTACTATTGACAGTTTGCTATTGACATATACTCATCCTTTAGATGTTCCAGAGAAATGTCGACCTGGTTTGCACACTCCAGTTCCAGCTGGCTTTTTCCTGGATGACGTGTGGACATCATTCGTCTGCAACATCAGCCATTTTACACCGCAAACCACAACCAAGTGCCTGAAGGACAAACACATCTATATGATGGGAGACTCAACTATGAGACAGTGGTTTGAGTTCTTTGTGAAAACAATACCAAGTGAGACAGAGAGTTTTCTATTGGTTACTGTATATAGTACATGATACAGATACTGTAGTAGTAGAATCTTAAACGTTAATGTGACGCACTATTTTTCAGCCCTGAAGCAGATGAATCTCCATGTCCAATATAACGCCGGTCCGCTCATGGCAGTTGATGTGGAAAACAACATTGACTTACACTGGAGAGCTCACGGCTTTCCTCTTCGCACTTTTAAGACAGCGGTGGCTAGTTTGCATTATATCAGTAATGAGATTGATGACCTGGCTGGAGGCCCTCACACAATCATCATGCTCAATCTGGGACCTCATTTCACCACGTACCCTCTGGATTTCTTCACTCTTCGGGTGTTGAGGATTCGCAAAGCTCTTCTTGCACTTTTACAGCGAGCGCCTGATACTACTGTTATCATCAAGACTGTAAACACTGGATATAAGGTAGCTTTTATACAAGGGGTTTTCAATAGGTCCACTGTCCTGCAGAGTTTAGCTCCATCATGCCTCTGGAAGCTTCTAGTATATCTAGTAAGACCTTGATTAGGTGGTTCAGGTGTGTTTAACTAGCTGAACTAATCAGGACAGTGGATCTCAGGGAACGTGTTGCTATGTACAATTTCATACTTTTATTACATGCTAAAAGTAAGTACTTTTTTGTAAAGGACTTTGTTTGTGTAATTCCTCGTTAACAGGTCGTTATGTTGCATAGTTATGTTGCCTGTCATCATCTCGACATATCATCCACATTTCACATTTCTTTAATTACCTAAATTTTCCGAGAAGCAGAAGCACGTTAATCTGCAATTTGCGAGTCCTTAAACTAAAGAAATCTCCTCAGGTGTTTGGATAATTATCTATTAATAAGTTAATGTCCAAACTTATCTTAATATAAGCTCACATTGTTGTTGCAAATTAAAAATAACACAGGAAATGTGATTGAAATATTTTCCAGATGGCTAGATACTACTTAATAGTCATTCAAACATCTTTACCGAAGCCTCTCTACTTGATGGTTGGTCTCACACGTCTGCCATGTTTGTATTTTATTTACATTATTTACTCAAGTTTGTAGTTGTAATCGAATTCATGTCCAATGTGCATCGTACTGCGGGCAATATTAGCGGTTAGAGCAGGGGTGGCCAACCCTGTTCCTGGAGAGCCACCTTCCTGCAGATTTCAGTTGCTACCCATATCAAACACACCTGACCCAATTAATTAGGACCTGAACACCATGTGATAATTACAGGCAGGTGTGTTTGATATGGGTTGCAACTGAAATCTGCAGGAAGTTGGCTTTCCAGGAACAGGGTTGGCCACCCCTGGGTTAGAGTATGGATGGTTCTACACTTTGAATGTTTACTTAAAATATTAGACCATCCGTGAATTGTGTGGGGTTATTACAGTACCAAAATGGCTGACTGCAGGTTTATGTATGATATTGATTTATTCTGTCTTTTCAACAGGATGTTTTTGGCAGTGACTGGTATTCTCTGCAGCTGGACAGAGTTCTGCGTTGGGCTTTTCAGGATGTGGGTGTTTATATTCTGGATGTGTGGCAAATGACCGCCTGTCACTACAGCAAAGAAAACATTCATCCAGGCCCAATCATCATCAAAAATGAGATTGATGTTTTACTGTCTTTTATTTGCCCTAAGTGAATTAAAATGATCTCTACTGTTTCTTTACTGAACAGCACTGTTTGACTTGATTGTTTAAACTGTCCCATAATAAACCACTCCTTGAATTTAAAAACTGGTGTTCGTATTTTTTTTATTTGTGTCAGTATGCTAATCTTAAGGTCATCTATGGGCTATATTGTGTTCCAAAACATCAGTATTTGCATTTAAAAAGCATTTCAAACTTACAGTCTTGTCCCAGTTGAACAGATGTACAATTATGATGACATCACTCTGCACTTCAGCTTCTCATCAGATCTTCAGTCCAATCAAAAACCCTCTATAATCCGAAGCATGCCTAATAAAAGATGTAACACTCTTTATGGCACAGAGTAACCATTTGGGTGAACTATTTGGTAAAATCAGTGCCATCCTTACTGGCCTACACTTTGTGCAACTGCTCGTTTGAATTAACTGTTAACATTAATTGATATTAAATTGATATTAAACTCTGCCACTATGTACTCCTCTTTGAGTTGTTTAAAACCAGTTTGAGTTTATTGTTGTTCAGTTGAATTCAAAAGATGTTTTGAAGATTGTTGGAAATCAGAATTATTATTGACATCCATATTCAAAACAAATGACAGGTTCAAGAAAGTCACATTCATAAAATATCTATTTTTTATGATGATATATTATATAATAAATATATAATTATATAATAAATATATATTTATTATTATTTATTTAATGCGTGGAAGCCATGTACAATACCTCCAAAACTAAATTATATTATAACAGCATAAATAATTATTAATGGCTAATACTTTAAAATAAAACTAGTGGTTTTTTAACCCGTGGTTAAAAAAAAACTTACAAGTGTTTAATTCTAAAAATTACTATCACCTTTATATTATAATAAAGTAAGATCTTAATAAATTTCATATATATTTGACATAATATTAATAATAATAATAATAATAATAATAACACATACAGAGGTCTCTATTCAGTCTCTGCATCGCATTAAAGTTTTAAAAGTGTTTACTTTAATTAATTTGAAATAATTAGTATTTTGGGCAACGCAGTGGCGCAGTGGGTAGCACGTTCGCCTCACAGCAAAAAGGTCACTGGGTTGTGGGTTCGATCCTCGGCTCTCTTGGCGTTTCTGTGGGGAGTTTGTTCCAGTTTCCCCCACAGTACAGGTGAATTGGGTAGGTTAAACTGTCCGTAGTGTATGCATGTGTGGATGTTTCCCAGAGATAGGTTGTGACTGGAAGGGCATCCGCTGCGTAAAAACTTGCTGGATGGTTTGGCGGTTCATTCTGCTGTCGCAACCCCAGATTAATAAAGGAACTAAGCCGACAAGAAAATGAATGAATAATTAGTATTTTGATTGGTCAGAAAGATTTGAGCACTTGCTTTGTATTTTAGCCTCTGGTAGACTGCCGATGCCATCTCTCCACAAGATGGCGGTGTCGTAAACAAATGCCGGCTGAATGAAACACATATGAGACATCCAGAAAGTCACGTAAGGGTGCTTTCACACCTACACTTTTGTTTCGGAACGCATCCCGTTTGCCCAGTTAGCGCGGTTCGTTTGGCATATGTGAACAGGGCAATCGCGCTCTGTTCCGCACCAAAGTAATCGCTCCGAGATCACAATCGTGGTCACAAAGGTGGTCTCGGCTCGATTGAAATGAACTGTGGAGCGGTTCGATTGCAGTGAGAAATCGGTCCGTTCCGAGCGCGGTTATATCACAGTGTTTTATGGATATGTAATAGGCTTACGGCTATATGAAGAGAGTTATGAGTATGGCGGGAAGTTTCGCGAGTCTCCGGATGCCCGCAAACGAGTGATGATCTCCCGGTAATCTCGCGTCTCCCTCCCGGTACTCAAATAGGCATCGTCGCGCACCCCTCTCACCCCTCCCCACCGCATCTCTCCTCAGACACGTCACGCGCGCACCCTGTCAATCACCACCAAACCACCACCTCTCCTGACAGCTGAGCAGGACGCTGCAAAATAAACCCTGACACTCTGACCAATGTAAGGAGAGTTTACTCGCACATGACTTGTTTTAGCTCTTTTGGTCCGATTAGAAACTTTGCAGTGTGAAAGCGAACCGCTCCAAGAGCAAGAGCAACAATATAACAATTGTAATCTAGTAATAAAAATAGTTTCGGAACAACTGAATCGATTCACAGGTGTGAAAGCACCCTAAGACTGTGGCAGATTCAGCACCTGCACAAAGAACAACACGGGTTCCGGCCAAGATGGCGCTCTAACAACAAGCAAGTCGATGTGCTCTGTAAGCTCAAACATTGTAATTGGCTAGTAGTGTTATTAGTTAAAAGCTATTTTACCTTGTGCAAAGAGAGAATATTATATAAATACTACAGAATTAGTCCCTGATTGTGCTAAGATGGGTAAATCGGAGAAAAGGAAGAACAAAAACGTGTCTCTGGAGTCAGCTAACGCTGCTAATGTTAGCAGTAGCGTGAGTGAAACTACGGGAGCCTTATGTAGTTATGAAACTGAGAAATTACACAATTATTCAAAAATAAGTCTGGACTTTGACGAATTTATAATGTGTGAGGAAGAATTCCCTGCACTTCCAGAAACTCCATGCAAATCACCTGCTACAAAACAACGGAAAACTGAAAGTTTGGAGGTTGCCATTCTCTCCCGACTCTGAGCTCTTTCTCAGTTAATAAATACCCGTTCTGATGCTACAGAAAATGTGATCGGAGAAAACACAAGAGTGATTACCTCCATGAAGGAGGTAATTAATGAAAATACAAAACAAATTACAAGTGTGAAAGAAGCTATCGAATTTTTGAGTGCTGAGGTTAACCATCTGAAAAACAAGTACGGAGTGATGGAATCCACACTGAGTAAAGTAGAGGAAACGTGCGTGGGACACGATCGAAGGTTGTCACAGTTAGAAAGTTACTCGCGGCGGTGGAATCTCAGGATGCACGGCATTCCGGAAAATGAAAGAGAGGATGTTCGTGAAAGGGTTATAGATGTATGTCAGCATCTCTTACCAGAGGAGTAGGACAGACTCTCCAGCGCCATTGACACTGTACACCGGTTAGGTCGCAAGCAACCAAACAAGAACAGATCAATCATTCTACAATTTGCTTCCCGTTTCTATCGTGATGCTGTTTGGCGTGCAGCAAAGGACTCTGCAAAAATAACATTAACATATCAGAAGACTTATCCCTTGCAGATAAAGAAAGAAGAAACAAACTATGGCCAGCAGTGGAGAAAGCAAGAAAAGATAATAAACGAGCATACTTCATTGGAAGTAGGGCTTTCGTAGAGGGAAACGAAATATTCCCTCCTGCTTGAGACTTTACATGGGAAGGTGTGTGATGATAATATTAAGTTGTTAAAAAAAAAAAAACTTGTCTTTTTGTGAAATTTATGGCCTTTTTAGGACAATTAAAACTGATTTAATAGTTTACTTCACTAATTTCTTATTTTTACACAGTTAAGCCAATAGCAATAGGGTAATTTACAACAAAGGCCTCAATTTGGAATTTGACCACATTTTTATTTATTTATTATTTTTTCTTACTCTTCTATTAACACACCTGAAAAAATTGTCACTGAATGTAGTCTAAAGAAATTGTATGGGCTATAGTAAAATTGTTTAATTGAGTAGCTCCAATACTTTAGTAAGTGAATCTGATTTACAAAACATTTTATGTTCTTTCATGTAAAATTTATGCACCTTGATTTACACTACATTATTCTTATAGTTCATATAGAGTTTGCAGTTCTTATCGTTCTGAATGTAGCGTTGCAAATCCTTCTTTGAGACCTAATAATCTAGTTGGTTATATCTTCTTTTTATGTCTCTTTCTATAATTTAATTTAATACACGAGGGTTAAGAAATACTCTAAAAAGAAAAGCTATATTTTTGTTTATGAAAAAGTTTAAAACTGATTTTTGTTTCTTGCAAGAATGTCATTCTGTAAAAGAGGACTATAATTTTTGGAGATCTCAGTGGGGTTTAGACTTATGGATGGCTCATGGTACAAACAAATCAGCTGGTGTTTGCATCCTTAAAAATCAATTTAATGGGAAAATTATTTGCTCTGAATGTGACTCAAATGGCCATTATATTTGTCTTGTAACTGAAATATCCAAATAACGTTTGTAACAACAGAAACGTTTGTAGGTAAAAAATTTTTTACCTACAAACAAATTTTGTTTTGTAACAAATTTTTTTAGATCTCTTTTTATTGAAAAAGTTGCTACATTGTCCCTGCAATCTCTTATTGAAATAATAGAGATTTGATATGGGAAAAAATATGGGCTTTGCATCAAAAATATTTTCTCACCAACAAGGTCAAAGAAGTGTCTTTTAAATTGATCAACAAATTTTATCCTATAAAACAATTTTTGAAAAAGTTTCATTCTAATATTGATGTAAAATGTTTATTTTGTTAATTTCATACTGAAACTGTTTTTCATTTATTTTGGGAGTGTAATTATGTTGTACAATTTTGGAAACATATTGGATTATTTATTGATGATAATATACAACAAGATGTTTCTGTTACTTTTAAAGAAATTATCTTTGGTTATTATGAATCTGCCCCTACTAAGAGAAATGCTTGTTTTGTTATAAATTTTATTTATTTTCTTTGTAAATTCCATATCCACAAATGCAAATTTACTAATACTAAACCATATTTTTCTGTTTTTTTGCAAGAATTTAGTCATTATATACAATTAATTTCATTATCTAAAAATAAGAAAGCAAACAGAACTATTTCATTTTGTAATGACTTTAATTTATGTACTGTTCTTGACTCTTAAATGTCTTACCCTCAAGTTTATATATCATGTTCTTTATTCTTTTTTTTCTTCTGTCTTTCTCTCGTGTATCTCTTTTTCATTGACAATGTAATTCATATTCTGTATTGTAAACAAATATTGCTACAAACTTGTCAACTGTTTTTTTGCAAAAAATAAAAATAAAAAATCAGCACTTTTAATAGTTTATTTAACAGACTTATAATATGCTGTTGTTCTATTGGAGTTTTCATTCCAAAATGGCCGCCGCGCTCTCTAGTGGCTGTTACCAAATTACACTAGAGTGTCGCCTCTTGGTCAT